TCCAATATTACAGTGGCCATCAATGCTTTTTTCTCATGTCTTTTTGCAATGAGTCTGATACTACTTTAGGAGGGCAACTTTCCCCCATTCAATCCAAATCCAGGCGATGCAAAGGCCCATGCAACTCAGTAAACTAAAATAACCTCTTCCTCCAAACTCCTTCCCCGAAATTCTTGAATAGTCGCCTGTGGTTGAACTGGAATGCATTTGGAAGGGTTTGAATTAAGTGTAGCTAGCCCAAAAGACAGTTTGGCTTCCTGCAGAGGTGTAAAGGATAAAAAAAGGATTGTGGTGGACAGTGCATTGTTATTGTGAATTATGCAGTGAGCGGAAAGGACACTGGAATACTCATCAAAGTTCCTAAGAGCTGCTCTCTTCCAGATGAGCTAATAGAGTGGCTCAGAGCTCTGAGGTTAACTGAAATCAAATTTAACAGTGCTGTAAAATACATTTGCTGTATTTGACTTCTTTCTAAAGTTGGAGTGGTGATTCTGCTGACCCTATTGTCAACAACAGCTCTGTTTAACTCAACGTTATCTGCGTGAAGATGACCACAAAGTTTTACCTAAAGCACATATGGCAAGCTGTAACCTTCACAAAGACTGATGTATTTTTGGATATTTTAAGAAATCAAAAAGCATCGATCAGAAATCTGTGAAAACATTCATTGGGTTTTCGAATATCTTCATTTAAACAACACTCCGAAGGAAGGAGTCATTGTCCAGCACTGTTTCATTAATAGGCTTACGTGATATGTGATTGCTTGTAAAACAGCTAGCCCCGAGAAGACAGACCTTGGAGGTCCTTTCCAGCCCTATGTAATGGAAAGGCGACACTGGAGTTACGAGAGGCTTACTGCTATAAACGATCAGCAACTCATTAATTTGCTCTATAACTCAAATATGTATCATTTTACATCCCTATAAATTTTTCAGGTACAGTGCTACTATTAATTATTGATTGGATGTAGAAGTGCCGACTCCCATCGGGTACAATTAATAACGCATGTCAAACAGAGACAATAAATGTTTCTCTTTGAAAGTGAGTTAGAATGCATCAGATGCTTTTATTTTCCATTATGAACTGATTTATAATCTTAAAAAATGTTTTTATTACATTTTTTGAGGGGAAAAAAGGAATTTTATACCTTAAGACTGTATTCTCTTCATTCATTTGAAAGACCACAGAGATGGTACGCTTAAAGGAAAGATTGCACCTTTTATGGCGACTCTGTAGATCTGTTGCACCTTTTCCCAGAGATAAAGCCTCACCCTGAAGACTGCCATTATCTACATCTCTACAGGAGCCCGTGCCATCTGGCAGGCCTTGGCTAAGCTGAGGTTGTAAACAGTAGAGTAGAAACATGAACATGGGCTACAAAATGAGGAACCACATGAGTTACATCTTCCCCGCCGCTGGGGCTGTAAGAATATGGTCCACTGAAGCCAAAAGAATCCAGTTAACTTGGCTGGCAGCAGGAGCTGACTGCTAGAGCACAGGAGTCTCAGCTATTATATTGAGATCTAAGTGTAACTCTGAACCATGAGCATGAAGAATAACAAAAGTTGCATTGATTTCAATTAGAGAAGGCTTGGGTCTATTTACTGCAACCGAGTCGATTCTCAGAAGAATAATTAATTCCTTGTCATGTCTCACATGTATCGATTTTTGTAATTACAGTGAAATTGGAGGCAAGGGTGGGAGGAAGGAAATGCTCTTGATTTATGTTTAATTTGACACACAAGCTGTCAAGGACAAAGAAATTGAGATGCAATGACCATGCCCATCCTCGATGCACTCTTCTGTGCTTAGATAATGACTGCCACACACTCACTGTAGTAGAGAATCTAAAATCACACCCTGCTCTAACGTATAGAATTCAGTACAGCGGTGTAAAGAGCCGTGTTGCTACAGCAGCCTCCACAGCATGCAGAAGAGATGCCCAAGGGGAAGAAGATAAGGACAGGACAAGCTTAATGTGTATCAATGACTAAGAAGAGGAGACAAAGAATTAGAATGGGGGAGAAAAGAAATACAAGCTGTTGCTGATAATAAAGCTGCCAGTAGATAATGTAAGAAGAAAAAAAAAAAAAAAAAGAAAATACCTATGGCCTTGCTTGGTAATGATGCTGTTAGGAAAAACATAGCAGCAGGAGAGCATTTGAACTTTGCTTCCACTGTGCTTTCACTAAAATGGCAAGTTAGAAATTTTTTGACCTGGAGTCAGTCAGTATTTGACTTCTTAATTAGGTGACAACCTCCTTTTCCAAACACGTTTGTGGGGGTGGTTGGCCTGTTTCCATACACACACAGATTTGACGATAATAATTTCTAGTTTCTACAGCATCAGAAATTAGTTTGTCATAAAGATATCCTCATTACTTACACAGATACAGTATGATATTTTGGGCCCATTAAAGTCAATGCCTACTCTGATTTCAGCAGGACCACAGAAGCTGAAGAACTATTTCCAATCTTTTGGCAAACTATCAGTTCAGGAAGTAAAGTCTCCAACTCTTACATGAGAAAGCAAGCTTTTTGTTACACAATAGCCCTGGAAATGAAAGCTGCAAAGCAGTCTGACATCCAAACATTAAAAAGAGATTATATATATGAGGGAGAGGCAGAGTTTAAGGGTGTAAATCAGTTCTGAGTGAAGTACTTTCATCTAAACACGATATTATAAACAAAAAGCAAGTGCTCTGCCTCCAGTACAGGAAACTAATTTGCATCCAGTTTGTGCAGTTTCTAAAAACTGTTGTCTAAAATGTCAGCACTCTAAGGGAAATTTTCCTCTGGTGACCTACAGACACCAAGGCAAAGGAAGCTGCACACTCATACTTTAAAAAAAACAAACCCCAATCCAAGCCCCAAAAAAACCTCACTGGTGTGGCAGCCTGTTGGCAACATTTGTGAAATTATATTCTTCCCGGCTATGACAGAGCTCTGTGCACAAAGTCACAACACAAGGAACAGTGAGTCAGTAATAAATAACCAAATGACAGTGATTGACGATGGCAAAATCTGTCTCCAAAGGAATTATTGGTAAAAATACTAAAAATTCTTTCCCTCTTTAATATATTAAACTCTTTGTTTAGGGGTTGAGTTGATACAGCCAGAAAACCCTTTTAACACAGCTAGCATAAATTTTAGTGGGAGTTTGAACACTGAAGCACGAGAGACTAGCCTGTTAAAAAAGCTGCCCCTAGAAAGGCTGCTGTTTACATAAAATATGTCGGTTCTTCTCAGCTGGGAAATCACTTGATCTATTTTATATCATATGCCCTGCCACTAAGGAAGCAAATATGGATATGAAATATGAACATGAAGCAAAACATTAAAAAAAAAAAGAGACTTAATAAAATGAGTAATTATGTTTTGCCTAAATCCTCTCATGCCAGCAAGAGGCACATACCATCGTAAATTCAGCCAAGTCTGCCCATTTCAGTATGTGGGAAAGGACAAAAAAAACTGCAGCCAGGCCCTGCGAGGCACATTACTGCAGAGGGTTTTCTCAGGAGGAATTGAGAGCGCCGACTGAGGAGGGCTGATTACTGCGGCGCTTTAACTGATGGCCAGATGCAGGGGAAGACAAGGGGTCTGGAGCCGCTCTGTGCCATGACCTAATGCTTGGCACGTGGACAGCTGATGGAAGAGTTTAACACTACTGGTCCAGCGCAATCTTTTAAAACGCAACCCAAGTCCTCAGTGACAAATTTTCAGTGCTTTACGCTACTTCTCAGTAAATTAAAAAAAAAAAAAAATCAAGAAAAAAAGAAGAAAGGACACAGAGAGAGAGAAGTAATCAAGTGCCCAAGTATTGGTGAAAAGCCAGTGTTAGAAGTACTAGCAGATTATTCTTTGACATTTTAAATTCAAGCATTTAAACTCCAGTCTTTCAGTTCACATGCCTGAGAAGCTCATGATCCTACAGCACCAAATATAAAACATACTACTATGTATAGTCTTTACACCCAGATGCCCACGACATCAAAAAGTTCCAACTTATTTATAAACATGACTTTAAAAAGATGAGTAGAAAATCAGAGATGCAAACACTTTTATTTCTCCAAACTATTGTAAACTTCTAGCTATTCAGACCTTAGCCTAATTTATTCTCTGGGTATTTCACAGAAATGACAGGACAACACTGATTAGCTGACACCCAATGCTAGAATTCAAGCTGTAATACAAGCACAGAAACATTAGGACTGTGGACACAGACAAGACATGAAAAGTGAAGCCTAGGACACACATTTATGCAAGTGCAGACATGACACAATGGGCTGTGAAGAATCATACTTGGATATGAACTCTGCTGAAAACAAGTCTCGCTCCGTACAGAAGTCTGATTGTGTAGTTACCTAGGTCTTCCTACAGGAAAATGGTGTACAAAGGAGGACTCTGAACCTCCTCTACTGAAGTCAATGGCAAAACTACCACCAGCTTCACTAGGAGCAAGAGTCAGCCCGCTATCTTTAGGATGAAAAGCTGTATTTCAGAATATTACATGTAGAAGCAGTGCACAAATCAAATAGAGGAAATCCAGCAAGCAACGTAGAATAATAAGCACTATTATTACGAAAACGCTCATTGTTTTCCACAAAAATATATCCTCATCAATTATCACAAATATCTGCGGCAAGCATGCTAAAAAGATATCTCTTTTTCGTTTCAATGTAAACTGTGTTTTGGTTTTGTACTGCTAAAGCACAATAGAGTGAAGGGCACACTCTGCTGGTCAGAAGCACCATTTACACTGAAAGCTTTTTAACAATATGAGTACGAAAAAATAAACCCCATTATATGACATCTGGACTTGAAGTGGTGCTCCATAGTAGGCTGCTACTTGACTTTTTTCATCCTGAATATTAGAGACAACGGCTATGCTGCTATAAATGGACTTTCTCATGTTTAAACATCAGCCTACCTGCTGTAAGAACACTTTCTTTCCTGAAGGACATTTTTTAGCAATATAACATTGTTCAAAAACTCTTTACCTTAGGCTTTTCATCCAGTATTTGCTGACGAATCTCCTTGTGTTTTTCTACAAGTTTCTCCTGTCTTTTACTCTGAGCATCTTCTAGCTGTACGAAAAGAGCAGAGAATCTTTTCTCAGAGATTGTGCCTCGTCGCTTTCCCACCTCTTCCCCAACAAATATTTCATCCACCAAAATTAAAATGTTATCATCAAAACTATGTCTAATATAAACCTATACACTATTGTTGCAAGCATCCCTGAGCACAACTGCTCTAACAGTTGTATGTGGACAATCTATCTCAGATTTCACACACGGGATTTAGAATCAGAAATGTCTAAAGGACTTACTGTAGACTTCTAATACTATTAAAAGCATAATGCATTTTTAAAAAAACATATTATTTTGCTTTAGCTTTTATTGTATGAGCTGTGCAAGATGGACTCTGTTCCCAGAAGAAGAGGATTTGCATCCTAGAGTCCTAAATGAACATGCTGATAAATTTTGGGCCTCATTTAATAAAGCGCTCAGACATGTGTCTGACTCCAACAGAAATTAAGCATACTTAATTTGGTAACTCTTTTGGTTGCTTCCTGAATCAAGGCCTCTGTGAGCAAAAATGGGTCAACTTTTGAACTGAACTATCTCTTCACTGAAATTAAGAGCAAATTCAATAGTGGCATATGTTGCATAGTGATTTCACACGTCAAAACACTACGGTGCATACTGAGCCCAGTGTAAACCACCTATAGCTTCAGAAAAGCTAGTACCTGTAATGAAATTCTTTGACTTGTATTTACATAGCTCATAGAATGCTTTTTTTTCATTTCAGTAACTGTACAAATGTAATTAAGTTAAAATATACTCTGCAATTAAATCTTTATTGACTTTCAGAGTCCCTTATGCAATCTTTTCATTCACGAGACAGCAAGCCAATTAAAAAACCCGGTACATTTTCCATGAAGAAACACAGGATGTTGAAAGTTGAAGTCATAACTGTATTAAAATCTTTTAGCACCATCCCCCAAACACCGACTAACAATTAATCAAGATCTGTCTGAAATTCCAGTTTTCCTTTAACTGGAATGTGAAGAGAAGTCTACACTGCATCTGTTAAAAATCAGTACTTGCAGAATCTTTATACCAAAGCTTAGAATCTGCAGTTTAATATGATCTAAAATATGAAAGCTGACATTTTACCCCCCAAAATGAAAAATAAACATATGGCCTGACATACCCGTTTTATGTACTGCACCACCTCTTGGATATATGATCGAATCATTTCGGTCTTCTCTCTGGGGAGAAGCAATCAACAAGTTATTGCAGGCAATAAGATCAAACCAATGTATTTTAATCCTCCACAACTCCTTACAAAATAATACTTTTATCCACTTCCTGAATGTGCCTTTAGTAACAGGCTGCATCTTTATTGTATGAAGGGCTCAGACTTCCCCGTGACCTACCACAACAAACCCACCGCTCTTTCACAACAGGCTTTTCCCTTAGGGTGCTGCTACGTCTTCAGAGTGGTGCTGGCGTTCCTTGAGGCCCAAACGTCAGTCTAGGAGAGCGCACGATCATCAGTAGCTGCACACTGCCACAGTGTGGCACGTTATATAGTAGAAAAATAGTCTCTGTCAGCGAGCAGATACTGCTGGGGACATCTCGGAGGCAATGGCAAAGTTCCCACAAAGAGCAGGGCAGACTCAACTTCCGTCTCCAACTTTGCTAGGTAAACCACATAAAGCTGAACTTGGAGGAAGTACTTAAGGGACTTAGTGAGATAGTTATTAGGCAACCTTTGGTCAAAGATGAGACTCCCAAAGGGATAAATGCACATAAAATAACTATTTGTGGATACTTGAGTTGACCAGATTCAGGACAGTACTCTAAAACCTAATTATGGGAATTTCTGTCTATTCAAGTGGCGCTAAAATCTGATAGTTTTAGGCAGTTACACAATCCCTGGGTGCATGTAAGAATTACAAAAATTAAGTAACAATTAATAAAATGTATTATCTCTGTGTAATATTCTTTCCCAAATTTGCGTAAAAGCTTTAAATAAACAACAGCCTAGCCTGGATGACTTGAATGGGATTCACCAGAAGGTCTCGCTACTCTCTTTGCTACCGTGAGGGTGAGGACAAACTGTGTCACTTGACAGAGGCAAGCTGAATTTCCCATGTAGTTCCCATCTCACCTTTCCCAAGGGCACTTTGAAATACCTGGCATGGGGAAGCCCTTGGGAAAAATAAGAAAAAAAAAGGAGAACAAAAAAGAATTTCTATTTGTCTGTTTCTGAGCCTTTCTCACTAGTGTCTCATTAACCTCTCAGCAAATCATTTCAGATTGCAATTGCTTTTTACTGCTCTAACATTTTCATAATGACTAACTACTTATTTCTTCCATGCCCTCTTACCAGCTCTAACCATATTAAGTATTTCTCCCTTTTTTTCATAATCAATTATTGTCATTTTGTTATCTTTTTTCTAGGATGTTTATTAAAATTCTGTGACGTCGATTCTTAAATTTTCTAATACAGTTCATTGTGTGTGTGACCTCCTTTCAGTGTTACCAAATTCACAGATTCTATTTTGAGAGGCTCCAAAACCTGTATAAACCTTTTTACCTGTAGAAAACCATACACAGTTGCATCTTTGTTACATGGTAAAACTCAGATATTCTGGATTTTCCTTTTGGGTTTTTTTTTTTTTTTTTTTTTGTTCTTTCTGTATTTTTAACTGTCTTTAAATGTTACTGAAGACTGGTAACAAGAATATCCCAGCAAACAGTGCAAGATTAAAATGCTCCATTTTCTTTTTGAGCTGCTTGCCAAAACAAACGAAGGAGGACAAACAAACCTAGACACTGTGCCCTTGGGAAGAATATAATCAACTTTCGCAACTACTGTTTGTATTGTCTGGTGGTACATAAATGAAATTAATATTCCTGTCCCTGTTCACAGGAGCTCCCACCCAAAGTAACTGCACACTGAGAACCAGTAACGCAGCATCTGAGGGGAATTTATCACAAAAGTAGAGCAAAACTTCCAGTGTGTTGCTGCTATTTCTTCTCGAGAGCAGCTTTATCAGTTAAGATGAAGAGATAACTCAAAAATTAAAAGCTAAGTTAAGGTGAAATCAAACCCTGCAGGAACTGAAGCCACTAGGTCTATTTATACTCAGAGGATAGCATCTGGATTAACAGCATCTTGGCGAATCGCTCTGTCATGCCACCCGTAGGCATGTCCCCATACCACATCAGCACCTTTGCAGCTGACCCAGACTCTCAGTGCTTGCAGGACAGGAGATTAGATTAGTCCCAGGAAATTAAATTAGTATCAGTGGAAGTAAGGAGGACTCCACTGCTCTGGTGAGGTATTATAGTCTGACTAAAAGCTGCCTTGTATTTCGGGTTAAGACCTTTCTTTGATTTTCAGGTCATGAAAAATCTTGTGTCTTCGCATAACATATAAAGATATGGATCCATGGATATACTTACTCTTCCATTTGATTTTTATCCTTGGATTTTGCTTCTGTGATCTTCTCCTGCCTCTTCTTGTCCATTTTTTTCTTCAATTCTTTCTTTTCTCTAAAGCATAAAAAATAAAGGCGAGTTCAAAATGCATTTAAACAAAACCCATACAGAGTAGTAATCAATGATAAGGGGAATAGCACCTTACTTTTCACACGTTTCTTTCAGTTTCTTTAGCTGGCTGTTCTGACACTCCTCTGCTACATCTGTCAACTTCTGAATAAGCTAAAAAAAAAATAAAAAAATCCCAAGAAACAAAAATACGTATTTTCAGCTAAACATCATACATGCATCTAAGTTTCCACAAAAGTCTGTAGCAGACTCGCTGATTAATTACCAATGATCAAAAGCCAGTAAACATTCTTATCGGGGTAAACGAATTCTTAACTTGCGGAGTCCGGTCAGACTTGTGTATGTCCAACTTACACAGAAACTACTGCTACTCTATACATCAAGGTGATATAGTCTCAGAATATTAAATGTAAAATAAAAATCTATTTTGCAGATTTTACCTTTGCTAGGAATGAAAATGCCTATGATAATTCATAAATGGTCACAAACTGAATTTATGCAATACAAATTACAAATTGAATTCCTGTATGGCTGAATATTCAAGGTTCTCTGTGAGTGCCAAAAACATCCCTCTTGCACTGAGCATTATTACATGGACCACCTTGGATTTCAGGGTGGTCAGGTGGATATTGAAAATTCATGCATGACAGCTAAGAAAGCTAAGCGTAGATAAGCATAGCCTACATTTTGATCACAGAATACTGGATTCAAAAAAATCCAAGTCGTCGGTTTGAAATCTGCTGTGCGGCGCTGGGACCAATCTCATTCCTG